AAGATAATGACTCTGTTGATTTAATTAAAAATAAAAATAGCATATCTTATATTTCCTAATTTATTTTTTCTTTTTTTTAATTATATACCTAAATTTTAATTTTAAATTTCAAATTCCCCAACAATTCTACCTTTATAAGTGAGTTGCAACTTTATTTTTAAAACCCTACCTTCTTGAGTGGCGTGCACTTGCCAAGGTTGTCATCTTTATTTTGCTGGGTTGTTGTCTAGGTTGTCGTCTTTATTTTGCTGGGTTTATTCTTAAACACATAATATGGGTGTTGATACCATGGGTTAATAGTCCAGAATCAAACTTTCTGTTTTTTGTTTTGTGTCGACACGTAATTCAGGGTGTTAGTACTATACGTTCAGCGTCCAATATTCAAGTTTCTTATTCTCTTTCAAATCCTACTTCTGTTTCAAATTCTACTTTTATTCCAATTAGGGTTTCTAAAACCTTATAAATACCCATCCAAATTTAGAATTAAGAGAGCTTGGGAGTCTGGTGGCAGCCCTCTTTTGGGTATTCTTGGAGATCAAAATAAATATTTAAGAATTTGTTTATAATTTCTAAATCTTTTCAATTTTTACAATTGTAAAAGAGTATAAGAATTTGTTTATAATTTATATATTTTTTTAATTATGTTTCTATTTATTTGGATATTAATGTATTTTATATTTATGTTTTTTACTTAATGTTAAAATTATTTACATTATCTCATATATTTAATAGTGTTAAAAACCGATCAATCCGATCGAACCACACCGATCCGATTTCAATTGGATTGGTTTGGTTATCATATAATAGTGGATTGGATTGGTTTAAAAATTTTACTAACCGATTAAATTGGATTGGATTAAAAAATATTAAAATTCGAACCAAACCACAACGCGAACACCACTATTTTTGGGAAAATAGGTCTAAATTTTAGGATATTCAGGACAAGTTAAAGACAAGCGTTTATTAGGATAAAACATTATTTTTTCCTTTGCACCGTGTGTGTGTGACGAGGAAGGTGTTAATTTGACGTGTACACGAATGATTATTCTTAAAAATCAGTTATGATAGTTAATAATTTAAATATTTTAATATTTTTTTTTGTTGAAAATAAAATATTTTAAATTTGAATTGTATAACATACGAGTAAAGTAAAATAAAAGATAAAAATAATTATTTTTTATTGTACAACTAAAATTAAAAAAAATTATGATAATTAAAATATTTTTAAAAAAATTTAAAATTTAAAATTTTAAAAGTAAAATCATAAATCAATTTTAAGGAGTAAGTTGTAAACGAAATTAAAAATTTAAAATTAGGAATCAAGTGCACAATTAAAAAGGAAAATAAATTAAGAAATATGAAGTATGAAGATACTTTATATTCATTTTTAATTAAATTAATGAAATTATTATTTAGTGAAAAGAAAATTTAAAATATTATAAAATATATTATATTATTTAATTAAGTTTTTTTATAAATGAATTTTATCTTATAATCGAGTAACTTTTAATAATTTGAAATTAAAATTACAAATCAAATTAATTATAATGACTTTAAAATTTTATAATACAAACAAACTTAATTTTATATCAATTTAACTTAATTTTTAATTATATTAAATCAATTTGAGTTAGATTAATTAAATTGAATCAGATATAAACATTCTAAGATCTACATGAGTTCCAACTGTTCAGTCTTCTGAAATACAGATTATGCTGTTTTTCACGAAATTATGAGAGCCAATGCAATCAATCAAGGCATCAATATGCTGTTGAAATTAGCTAAGAAATGCCAAAAAAAAAAAAGAAAAAAGAAAAGGCTTATTTTAATCCGTTTACAATACAAGGCCATCATGATCAGTGAATGGACAAAGGAAGCATCACTATTTGCAATCATTATTTTAAGTAAATCCAAAAGTTTAATTTTTTTTTTTTTAACATGATTACAATTCGTAAGGAGATAAAGAGATAAGAAAAATAGGAATTCAAAATTTTAATTGCTTAATAATATAAAATTTTAAATACCTAGTTTTGTCCTTAAATTAAAAATTTTATATTAATGAATAAAAAGTTTTTTGTATCAATCAATTACTTAAATAATTTAATAAATATTTTTTTCATTAAATAAAAATTTTAAATTTAAATTATATAATATAAAAATAAAATACAATAAAAAATAAAAAATGATTATCTGTCCGTTACGCTATCATGCGATCTTCAGACAAGGAAGACGAATCTTGCTACCTCGTGGCTATTATGGGTCGGATCGTGTATTTTTGACCCATAACAGAAGCAGAACAATAAATTGGGCCGCGCAAAGTTAAAACCAGAACTAGAATTGCTAATCTATGATGAGTGACACGGTAGGCTGTGCACGTGCTGCAATGTTGGTGTATAAGCAACCAATAAGAACGCAACACGTGGACGGTTGCGGAGATTTTTGACTGCGGTACACCACGCGCTCTTTCCCGTCTTTTCCTGGAAAATTCTCTGGAAGCTGTTCAAAGGCCTCTTGAGCCCTAACCTTTTTATCACCGGCAACGACCCAGAAGAGAGCGTTTTACGCATTCGAGCACCGAAAAGCAAAGAGAGAGCTGAAATGGCGTCGTTCGATCAAGCTCCTGCCGGCGATCCGAAGGTCGGAGAGAAGATCTTCAAGATCAAATGTGCCCAGTGCCACACCGTCGAGAAAGGTGCCGGTCACAAGCAAGGTAATAAATTCCTCTCCTGTTTCCTGTTATCTATATCTATTGGTGATTTTTGTTTTTCTGTAAGTTCGGTTAGTTTGTGCTCCTTCGCAGTCTGATTCAATTGCTTCTTGTTCGGAAGGAACTGTTAATTTGATTTTCTCTTTCTTTGTCAATTGTTAGATTGTTAGACACATGAATTGTTCAATGTTCGGATCTATTTTAATTGTTGATAGATCTGAATTAATTGAATGGTGATTTAGCATGTTTGTATTTATTAGGGTTGGCCATTTGATGGAAATTCTCCTCTTTTTATTTATTTTTTAATGCTATAGATCTTTTTATTTATTTATTTATTTTGGTGTCGGCTAGTTGCAATTGGAGTTTTGAGCTTTGCTACTTCGATTAAAATCTCAGGTCCTATTTTGTGAAATGTTATTACAATTTTCATTTTTCAGGACCCAATCTAAATGGCCTTCTTGGAAGGCAGTCAGGTACTACTCCAGGGTACTCCTACTCTGCTGCAAACAAGAATATGGCTGTCATTTGGGAGGAGAAAACATTGTATGACTATCTCCTCAACCCCAAGAAGGTACTTGTGCGCTCAACTCCTAAATTTTATACTCAGTTTGAATTCCCATTAAATTAGAGGACATGGTTCTTTGGTTGAAAACGATGGCTTCAGCTCAGTGTAACCTGAATTTTGTAGGAATGTGTCTGGGAGTTCTTTGCGTGTGTGTTTTCTTGATTTATGAATTAATGAAACAGATAGGTTTAAGGTCCAGTGCCTGTGGGTCGATCAAATATATTTGTGTGAAAATATATTTCTTGTTTGTTAACTAATAACTAGCATGGAGACACCATTTAGGTTTTAGGATCATGCATCATACTTGTCGGTTAGCAGCTTAACTCTTGACATACTTGAGCTCTCTCAGAAAGTAAAATGGTTACATTATGTTCAGAATTTAAAGAACACTAGGCATGGATGCAAATTTGTGGAACCACCAGCTTTGGGCATTGTTGATATTTGGTGATTATTGTGATTACAATGTCATTCTATTGAAGTTATGTTTAAAATCCTGCCATAGACAAGTTGCATAGAAATTAGGAAAACTTTATGCTCATGTTTAGAAGTCACTTGTTCATCATCCCATGATGGTTGTTGATCGATCCATATCTAATTCTTCAATGCAGTACATCCCTGGAACAAAGATGGTATTCCCTGGACTGAAGAAGCCGCAGGAGCGTGCTGATCTCATTGCATACTTGAAGGAAGCCACCTCATCTTAAAGGCCCATGCGCACTTATAGACCCCTATTCCATTTTTCACCAATTGGAGATTGTTTTTCACAGAATGGATAAAATAAATTAGACCATGTAGGTCAGTGATGCTCTTTGTAAAATGAGTATTGCTAGGAATTATTTATTCCGAAATGGTTGCGGTCAATGGCGGACGTTAGCCTTTTTTGACGAACTGGATATCTAAAGTTTATGAATTTCCGGTGAATGACTAGTTTGCAAATGATAAGTTTTTGCCAGACTATACAGTATTGACTTCTATTTTATTGTTTCATTTACGGATGGCTCTGATCCTTTTTGAAGAATGGTTCCAGGCAATTCCAACCACATGCCAGATCTTTTCCTAAAAATGTAAGCATCATTGGCTTGTAAGAAATATTAATTTTTCAGACGACACAAGATTCACTGCTGCAGAATAATCATTTCAAGTAAATGTAGAGCTTGCTTGCCCTTCCATTTAATGCCTTGAGTGGCTTCTTTTCTTACTCCTGATGTTTCCTTTTGGAATATTAGTGTTATAACTGGAAATAGATTCAAAATTCAACTAGACTGGCCTAAAAATAAAACTTGAAAACAAGATTCAATACAAATCCACAAAAACACTGGGAAAAACAGATAAAAACGAGCAACAATTATTTGTCTGTCAATCCTTCAAGATTGTGGCTGCATAGGTCGGTGAAGGCCAGGAATCTGCACCAGAATTCAGTTGTAAAGCATAAGCATTACCGTTCATTAATCATGCAAGAAAGTTTTGCAACACAAATAAAGGTATTCATGGGGGTGACACAGCCAGGTATGTTACATGCTCTTTTTTCTTGGCCATTCAGGTTTTTCTTATCTTTTTTTTTTTTTTTTTTTTTTTGGGAGATAAGGCAAAATTGCAGCCATCCGGGTATGTAATATGTTCAAAAAGTGAACGTTTTTTCTGACTCTTACTGGTAACAAAATATGAATACCAAGTTACCAACCTCAACTCCATGAGGGCCAATTCGGTTACGGGATATAAAATTGAGTACCAATGTAGCAAGTTCATCAGGAACGTCTTCCTGCAATGACGCAAGATTTAAGAGTTACAGTTTTCTTTTTCCAAACAAATTGAAGGAAAAAGATAAAGAAAATACAATGAAATACGGAGTATATTGAAGTGAACCTGGATAGCATGGCCTGTATGCCTAACGACTACCATTTGAAATTTGCCTTGCATTTGACCAATGGTGAGGGGTCTGTTTTAAAACAATATGGAGATTGGAGAAGCTCTCAAAATGCTGACTTTTTTAATGTTCTCTGAAGAAGCATTTATGAATCTAGCTAAACCAATACCCTAATAAAACCAACTTTCCAATTGCCGGTGGATGTTCATCACAAGAATAAATGAAGAAAGAACTAATCAAAATGGAACTGAAAGCAAGATATAGGACTGGTTTACATTGCAGCATATTCCTCAATTTCTGACGCTGCATATTATAACTCTTCATGACTTCTCATTATTTACCATTTTCATAACAGATTTTACAAACAGCAAAGAAAGGATTTTAAAATACAAATAAAATACATGACCTACTTATTTTTCACATCAACCTTGCTCTTTGTTGGAAAAACTGCAGAATATTTGATCATCCTTAACTCAAATGTCATGCTATTCATCATACCATATGCTCAGGCCAAAAAGCTACAATTGTGAACGGGTATGGAGCATAAATTGTGATAAACTTGACATAAACAACCAACTTCTAGCATTTACTCTTAAAGGCATTTGAATAGTCACATACCTGTCCAGTCTGTCAGTTCCAGCTAACAACAAGAGCTTTGGAACGGGACATGATAGAAACTTCTCTGATAGCCCTTCATACCTGGACGGAATAGATTTATTTGATGTAGAAAACCAAACAAAATTAACATATAAAAAATAATTATGCAAGAGAAAGAAAAAGATCATCAGTATTTCAATTTTTTTTTCTTAATTTGAAAATGATTTGACTTGCAATTGAAGCCATCTGCACAAGCAATTTCCAAAAGCAGAAGCACAAAAAAATTCTTAGTTCGGCAAAACTGGCAAGTAAATGATTTAAACCAACTCCTAACCCCTCTATTTCCTTTAATTTCATTCTTCTATCACCGTTATTGCCTTCAAAGATGAACCTCTGCCAGAGGAATCTCAAATATTCTGACAAAAAAATCACGGAAGCCACATGCATCAGTGATGAATGACGGCAATCATTTTATGAAACAAATTTGAAAAGTTCTTTGTCCATGTAGTACAACTTGCATCACACTCAACAATGATTCCAAATCATGTTTATAAAATTTCAGCAGTGGCACCATTAGACAGTGATTTTCTAGAAAATTTATGGCTAATGCTCAGGTTTCAATTGTAATACCCACAACTAACAACACAAGCCTGTTCATTGTGCCATATCTGAAAAGCTGAACATTCATAACAAAACTTCACCCATACCAGCCTCTCCAATATTGTTCAGTTTCTTCCAACCGTGCCCTATGGACATAACTACAATAAGAAATTAGAATCAGGACTGTTAGGAATAGAACTTAAAAACCAGGCAATAACATTATTTATCCCTATTTTTTTATTATGATAAAAGTACAAACCATTTCCTTGAATCATCATATTTTAATGTGGAAGGAATGGATACACGAGCAGAATCAATGTTTCTCAGTGAGCCTCCTTTGACACTCCACTCAATCTGCATATTGTTAAATTTGTCAAGAAAACAACAGAAACATTACTTGAATAAGAAATGCACAATTTGTATGATTCCACTAATCTCTTGTCCTGAGTGTAACTATATCAGCTGGAACTGGAAACTAGAACAACCACTTAGTAGTTTACATGACATATAAATTCAAGTGCAATGTCTGTCCAACACATTTACATCTCTAGATGAGAAGTTATTTTGTTCAAAAGCGTTCTGTCCCCAAAAATACCTTCACCTATGAAACCTTAACATTAATATATACATATGCATACAACAATCTGTATTTGATATTTCTAATCAATTTCAGAAAAAATCGTTTTAGAGAAACAATTGATAACTAAATGTGCCCATGGTTTGCCTACTTTCCCTCTAATTAAAGGTTTACCATTCAAGCTTCTATTTAACCTTGGGAGAGGAAAAAAATTGCAAGAACTATATAAATTTAGTAAAACAAAATTTCCACAGGACTCAGATGTATGCAAAAGAATTAGTACCAAGTTAGCAAATGGAAATATGGTCTAAAAGAAATGTCCTTACCGCTTTCTCTACACTTAAAAAATGCTGCATCCTGTTTGATAGAAGTTTCTGCATGTGAATTAATGATGCCATGGCTGTTCCCTGAAGTGAGTCACAAAGGTTCAATATATTGCTTGTAAGTTACACTTTGAAAGAAACAATATGAAGGTTCTTCTTTTTCTCTTGAGCAGACCTCTACAACATCTATAACAACCAACCCAGCCACACTAGGCAATGCCTTTTTGGCAGCTACATGCACAGCTACCGAACCTCCCATACTGTATGACAATGAAATGCATTAATTAAATGACTGAGAAAAAAGAGAAAGAAAGAGAGAGAGGGTTTTTTTCAGGTGGGGGGAGGGAGCTTGTTGATTAATGCCTTTGAAAGTGATAGAACTCTTCATTTAACTTTTCTTTGATTCATGAAGAAAATATTAGAAAATAAAAGATATTGGTCCTTTAATTAATTAATTAATTTATCCTAACATGTATGGCTAAAACTACAAAAATCTGGGGGCTATAATTAGATGCTGTCATGGTTTTAGGGTATGGCAAATGAAAATAAGCTATTAGTCCATCATGGTCTATGGCAAACAAAAGAGTACAACCTGTGGCCAACGAGCACAATTGCAGGAGGGGAATCGCCATACAATGCCTTCACAACAGCCAAAACATCATTGCACATAGTCTGCACATAAGAACTCCTTCTCTTTAATTGATATAAAAAGAAAAAAAAAAGATTTCATGACTTAGCAATTGATTACTTGGCTGTAGAAAGAAATCCTTGTTTGCTTACTTCTGCTGTGCTTTAAATAATATATACCTCAATAGATAGGTTAAGATCATTTTCTGTAGATGACTTTCCATGTCCCCTAAGGTCCATGGCAACAATGCGAGCTCTCTCCTTAATTTTACTTGCTGATAATGCAAAAGAAAGCCTGGACAAACAAGTTAGATTCAAATTCACAAAAATGCTAGAGTTTAGATCATAAGATTTTGAATACACAGTACATTTTAATCCAATAATATATTGGTCGAGGCACAGATATGGGTGTCTATTATACAAGCTGTCAAAGTTGCATCCTTGGACGTGTATGATTGCCCAGGCATTTTAATAATGAGATCATCAGAATACAAGTTAGCTAGGTTTCATCAGTCATCATGCATCCACAAAAGCTTCCATAAAAACACATTGCTCCATTACTTTCGAGAAAGAAACAGCAGTATAATGAGTCACCATGCTTCACATATTTGATTAGAAACACATAACAGAAAGAACTGATGAAGAAACAACAGCATATGTAGAACCAGAATGCATACCCAGTGAAACCACCTCCATGCAAACAAAAAACAACGGGCCCCTCCGTCCCTGCCATATATACATGAAATACCTAAAATAATAAAGATATTAGAAATAAAGTATTCAAGAAAAGAAAAATCACTCGTAGAACAATGATCATATTAAGCAACACTAACATCATTTGAGGCCGGAATGCAAATATCTTCCTCTCGATCAAAATAATCCGACCAATCTAAAGGCGAGTAATTGTGTTTAGAGCCCCTATAGTTTGGCAGAAAAGAATTAGAGATATGCAATTCTCATGATTGAAGAAACGATACAGGCTCAAAAATAAGAAAATTGAGCAAAAATATACACGAATGCAATGCTATCAGCTAAGTTTAAGCAAAGCAACAATTTCCTTCGGAAAAATCTTTGAAAAAAAGAACGAAAAGAAGAAAAATTATAAGAAATGAGAAATGAAATCGAAGGGTTGTTACGGAGGAGTAAAATGCTGAAGCGCGAGCTGAAAACTCACTGAGTTGGAGGACGATCAGGAACCGAGGCAAAAGCGGAAGCCACCGGCGGGATCCCGATTTGCTGTTCTTCACATCGGTGGTGGTCCTCCGAGCCTTCTTCCGGAAGGGAACTGAGATTCGAGGATGCCATTTTCTCCGATCGATTCTAACAGTCTCTTTTGCTAAGCACAAGTAGTCTCTTTGTGCAATAAGATCAGACTTCAGTACGTTGAATTGATCAAATGTCCGTTATATTCAGAGCCCAATGAGTAGTTCGTCAAATAAGCCCTGAACTGCCCAGAAAATGGGCCCAATGAAGAAGTTCATAAAGAACCGTATGCTTGGTATAGGGATAGCAGGATATAGGCCTTTCGAGGGGGTCTTAGACTCTTATAGTCCATTTCATGATTCAAATATTTCACCTTTTTTTTTTTCTTATGACAAAATGATTTTCTTAAATAAATAAATAGGAATCTTGTAATAAATAAAGTTGCTTAAAGAGATACATCAAATCATTTCTTGTTATTTTTTTGCTGGACCAGAAGATGGATTTACATGCAAGCCACATTGATTGGTAGGTAAACTTTAGGATTAAATTATTGATGCCAATATCACATCAACTAAGAAAGAATTAGTTCTACCGAAAAAGGGAATTAGTGGTGTTGAGATCCACATAAATTCCTCGAGAATATGTTGATTATTTAAATTAATTTTTCAAATAATTAAAAAATTGATCTTATTAAAATACTTAAGAAATACTAAAGTTCAATGCTCTTAAAACCTGTTCTCTTTAAAACTCAAGCTCTTATAACACAATAGTTACAGTAAGGGCTATTTGCTATAATAATTAAAATTTAGTGGATAACGAGTAATAGGTAATCCATAGTAGGTAATAAGTGGTAGTTAACTGATATAGAATAATAAAAAATGAGTAGTGAATAGCAAATAACAGATAACATATTTCTATTGATATAATTATTTAATTATACAATAGTGGGTAATTATTATTTAATATTAAATAATTAATAAAAATATATTTAAAAGTAACCAAATAGCGATAATCCATAGTAGGTAATAAGTGGTAGTTAACTG